CTCTTGAAGGTTTTTGATAAAGGACCTCAGTGGTCATGGGCTTACTTGTGAGGTACTTTCTTACTTCCATGAGGGCTCTTTTCATTACCGGTTAGAACTGGGGTACTTGTTCCTGGACCTTCTCCCAACCCACCCGAGAAAGATGCCGGGGATAAACGGGGTCTTTTGCTTTCCGTAATTTCCTCTTCGCTGAAAAGTCCTCTTTTACCGGCCCCTGCTGGACGCTTCTTAGCTTTTGCTGAAAAAGAAAAGGAACAGTTCATTCAAAAATTGCTTGCATACCTGATAAGGACCAAATACAACAAAATCCGAAATAGTAAAAGTTCTTGCTGAATAGGCTTTATTAAATAAATGATTACTCCATAAAATTTCATCCGCAGACTGCGGAAAATAGATATTTCACCCCGGGTTGGTGGGGCTATATTCACAGGGAGTCTATGGTCACGTGCATAGGATGGATAATCCAACGCAGCTATTACACTCTCAACTCTGTTTGAGAATGCGTAATCAAGGGACCCTGGGTTAAGGTTCAAAGATGTTGCTAAGAAAACCGGAGAAAGGGAGAGACATCGATCTCGACCGTTGTCATGTGAGTGCTAACGAGAGATCAAACTATGATAAACACTAGTCTTAAGTCCATCATTCTTAGTAGCATCGGCTGACAGCAATGATGATGATTTGCCACAGCAGTGTTCTATGCTTGTATTTCACTTACGATGCTCTATATCTTATAAGTCTTATCAAGCTGCCATTATTTCTAACCTTGTAAAAACAACGCAGACGTTCTCTTCATTTCATCCCGGTCCTCGTCGCCCCCTCTTGCTCGTTCGAGTCCTCGTTCGAGTCCTCGTCCTCATCCTCGTCGTCGTCGTCCTCGTCGCCCTCATGCTCGTACTCATCCTCGCTCGCGTCCTCATCCTCGTCGGCGTCGTCGGCGTCGCCTTCATGCTTGTGGTCGTCCATGTTCGAGTCCTCGTCTTCGTCCCAGGACTCCTTTTCTTCATCTCGTTCCCACAAGTCTTTTAGCCCACGTGCTTCTTCTGGTAATTCATCCTCATCTTCACTTGATGTCTCTTCTGCATTAAGGTCATCTTCAAGTTTCAAAGTTGTTGCATCTTCTGCTATGCGAAAACATAGTGAAAAACGTTTCAGTAGGACGATAGCGCTGTTGTTGTTGTCGCATCATTTTAAAATGGAAAATAAATTCTTCTTTAAAATTCTTTAGGTTACCTCTTTTCTTTTACTTAAAGAGTAAGGCCAGGAATTTGTCTTATGTCCTCGACAGGACAACAAGATAAATAAAAACAAGGAACAAAGTGTCAACTACAATGAATTTTCACCATACATGGAATTATATCTTTAAAAACATTCTTTCATGAACAAGAAATAATGAGCCAGACAATGCAATACAGGTCTTTATGATGAAGATAATAATAACAAAAATAATGACGATGATGATGTTGTTGTTGAAGATGATGATGATAATGATAAGAGCATCAAAGAAGTATTGTGGTGAATTGTAACCTTGCAAAGAAAGCAGTGACATGCTTCCATATAGAGCATACAAGTGAACAATTCAAGACCTTATTACACAAGTAATAGTAATAGTAATAGAAATAATAATAATACTAATAATAATAGTTGATACCTCTATAGCGCATTTTAACATAGGTACACGATCAAATGCGCATACACAAAAATGAAACCTATATAGAACAAAAGTTATACTACCTACTGCATTATAACTGAAATTATGTACACTTTCAAAAGCTACATCAATAATTTAGCATAGCCAAAAACGAGCAAGAAAGACATAAAAGAAATAAGAGTAGAAAATAAAAGAACCTCAGTGTACGCTTCTATAAAATAGTAGGTCTTACTAAGAAGTTTCTAAAACTTATCGAAATTCGTCAATTTCCTAATATAGTCCAGTAAGACGTTCCATATCTTTGGAGCAGTTGCAGCAGATGATTAGGAGCCCATTATACAGTAGCATCCTTTATAACAGACGTTACTTAACTTTAATATTTCCCGCTTCTTGATTGGCTAATAAAACTACAGCTGTTACACATGATGGTGATGCAGGGATAAATAAATAAATAAATAAATAAATAAATAATGATTTGAAGGTAGCACATCCACAAAGTGGTTCTTCGTCTACCTGATTCCTGGTCGAATGGAAATTTGGAAATGTTGATTTTTGAGGAGAGAGGAAAACGGGAGTACCCGGAGAAAAACCTCTCGGAGCAAAGGAGAGAACCAACAACAAACTCAACCCACATATGGCGTCAACGCAAGGATTTCAACCCGGGTCACATTGGTGGGAGGCGAGCGCTCTCACCACTGCGCCATCCTTTGATGAAAGCAAGCGGAAAGAAAGTAGCGGAGAGGCAAAGGGAGAACTGAAGAAGAACAGTAGAGGCAGAAAAAAACGACAGGCAAGGTGATGCAACTGGGAAACAGTAGCCTGTGTATAGCTAACCACTCCCTTTAAACAACTTAGGGAGCTTAAGGAAAGGCGTTTTAGAGCGACGCACACCAACCGGAAGTGAACTTTTTGCCGTTCTTGGGCAGTGGTTGTGCCCAAATCATCGGGCAGATCGTCTCTATAAGAGTAAAGAATTTAGCAATATAAATTTGTTATAAGCATCAAGGCATACTAAAAGAGAAAAGGCCTTACTTCTGGTTGACGTGCGTTGTTCAAAAAACGTCTTTGCTTAACCTTCATAATGTTTGAGGGGAGGGGTGGCTAAAAACAGGCTAGATCACAGCAACAGCAGCAGACAAAGACAGATATTGGGGATCAAAGGATCAAAATATCTCACCATCCAAAGATGAAAAGCTGTCAGATCTGTGATCCTCTTCCTTTGAATCCAGGTAACCATCTCCCTCAGATGACACATCACTATCAGCATCTAAGCCTTTCTTAGCCATTTGCTCAGCATTGTGTTTGTCTCTCTTAGCTCTTTTGTCTGTGAAAGAAAAGAGTAATTAAGCTTATAATGCACAAGATACGAGGAAAGTCAAACGTTTACCATAACATATACGACCATATGCGACCTAAAATAGGTGCGGCCAAATTACCCATTTTACCCATTGCCCACGGGGAAGCGGCTTCTTGTGTGACCGATTTTCCCAAGGTGAAATTCAGTGCCTCGGGGAAATTTCCATGGATACATCATTCCAAACAAAAGAATTACCCATGAAAGTTCCCGAAGTAAGTTCTATTGGTGAATAAGAACCTAAGGCGGCTCAACCAATCACAAAAGATTGAAACGTACCAAAAAGTAGAAATCACGTGTTGTTTACGTGCCGAATCCGCCTTGGCGCCAAACTGGAATGCAAAACCTCAGCAGGATTTTGGGCGCTTCTGTGAATGTTTTTTCTGTACTTTACAATTTCACATAAATTTAAAAGCAACTCAAAACACTCGTCAGTTTTCTTTACATGTGTTCAAGAATTATTTCCTTGTGAAGTCGCTGCAAACACTTTTGTAAACCCGTACTTTTGACTTTTGAGCGAGAATTTGTCTTTCTTTAAAAAAAATGAAGTCAACGTCGTCCTTTTCAGTCTCAAAATTTAAGACGGAATCTCTCTTTCTAAGTTTAATTAATGTGGAGCGGGTGTTATTAATACGATTATGTGAGATTCAATGTTTACAACAACATTTACCTCAAAACTGCCCGGTTCACGTTTTTTCTTCCCTTTGGGCAATTTATAACTGTATAACCGCAACCAGGGCAGTGACCAATTACCCAGTGTGACCCCAACCTAAGCTATTTCCCCAATGGGAGCTTAGGGGGGAAAGTCAAGTGTGACCGCACCTAATGTATTGTATCTGGGATCAGTAAAACCCCTAATTCTCTTTGAACTCGTTTTTTTAACGTAGATATTTGGTACTGGGTTTGCCTGGGCTGAAAGCCTCCTTGACGTCATAGGAGGCAAACAATGTTTGGATCTTGAGGTTAGCAAAATTGAAAATTGCTTTAATATATCGCGGTGTTGAACTCCATCTGTAGTTTGTCCGAATAAGCAGCCCCAAATCGGAAATTGTGTTTGCCTGAAAATTTCTTTTTGGATGTAGCTGACTTTTGATCTAGGCCACTTTCCTTTGAGACAATCATCCAAACGCGGATTTTGCCTTTCTTTACTAAAACTAAAAACACACTCCCAATAGATTTGGTGATAGATTATATCTAAATCCCATTTATAGATTCACAATTAATGAGTTTGTTTGGGCATGGGTCCAAAAAAGTTACACCTGTCGAGCATTCTACGTTATTGCAGGCGTTTCACACAAATATTCTTAAAACGCTGAAGAATCCATCTTCGGGTTTTTACTCACGTTCCCTTTGTCGCATCAAGTCCAAAGACTGTGAGATTGTGCAACGATTAAACCTTATCGGATTTTTTCTAAAGGAACGTGCCCTTGATTAAAATCATTAAAAGCTAACAGCTGGAGGAGACATTTTTAACTTACCAATGATTTTTGCTTTACCTTGTTCCTTACTACTGCCTTTATCATCATCCTCATCGTCATCATCTTCTTTCTTGGATTGTGATAAATGCCTTTCAGCTTCATGAGTAATCTGCAAGGACTAACTTTCATAAGAAGAAACTTGAAGATACGGAAAGAAGAAATAGAGTGTAAACAGAAACTGTTACAGTCAAACCTGAATTAAGAGATGTCTTACTAGCGTCCCAAACATCGACTCCATGATTAACATATGTAAAGCGTCATGGAGTTTATCAAATTAAACTCATTTATAAAGTTGTATGAATTTCATATATTGGAACTGCGGAAGAAAAAATGCAAAGACGATCCTCGCAGTTAAAGACGCAACTTATGCTTCTGTGAAAAAAAAAACACCTAAAAACTTCAGCCTTTTAAATTTTAACACAACACCAACGCGATAAACCTTAAAGATTGCGTAAAATCTATCTAGAAGAAATATAATTTCCATAATAAAGTTTTTTGCGTCTGTTAGCAGTCCTTCATGTACCTTATTTGGTGTTTTGTTGAGCCAGTGCTTGTCTGCTTTAATGGCCAGAGCACGTTCCTGATACTCCTTGGCTTGCTCAAAGTCACCTAAATCCCTGTAAATCAAAGCTAAGTTATTGTAGCTTCTTACAACATTAACATGTTCCGGGCCAAGCTTGTCCAGTTGGATGTCTATAGCATGTTGTTGATACTCCTTGGCTTGCTCAAAGTCACCTAAATCCTGGTAAATCAAAGCTAAGTTACTGTAGCTTGTTGCAACATCAACATGTTGCGGGCCAAGCTTGTCCAGTTGAATGTCCAAAGCACGTTGCTGATAATAAATAAATAAATAAATAAATAATGATTTGAAGGTAGCACATCCACAAAGTGGTTCTTCGTCTACCTGATTCCTGGTCGAATGGGAATTTGGAAATGTTGATTTTTGAGGAGAGAGGAAAACGGGAGTACCCGGAGAAAAACCTCTCGGAGCAAAGGAGAGAACCAACAACAAACTCAACCCACATATGGCGTCAACGCAAGGATTTCAACCCGGGTCACATTGGTGGGAGGCGAGCGCTCTCACCACTGCGCCATCCTTTGATGAAAGCAAGCGGAAAGAAAGTAGCGGAGAGGCAAAGGGAGAACTGAAGAAGAACAGTAGAGGCAGAAAAAAACGACAGGCAAGGTGATGCAACTGGGAAACAGTAGCCTGTGTATAGCTAACCACTCCCTTTAAACAACTTAGGGAGCTTAAGGAAAGGCGTTTTAGAGCGACGCACACCAACCGGAAGTGAACTTTTTGCCGTTCTTGGGCAGTGGTTGTGCCCAAATCATCGGGCAGATCGTCTCTATAAGAGTAAAGAATTTAGCAATATAAATTTGTTATAAGCATCAAGGCATACTAAAAGAGAAAAGGCCTTACTTCTGGTTGACGTGCGTTGTTCAAAAAACGTCTTTGCTTAACCTTCATAATGTTTGAGGGGAGGGGTGGCTAAAAACAGGCTAGATCACAGCAACAGCAGCAGACAAAGACAGATATTGGGGATCAAAGGATCAAAATATCTCACCATCCAAAGATGAAAAGCTGTCAGATCTGTGATCCTCTTCCTTTGAATCCAGGTAACCATCTCCCTCAGATGACACATCACTATCAGCATCTAAGCCTTTCTTAGCCATTTGCTCAGCATTGTGTTTGTCTCTCTTAGCTCTTTTGTCTGTGAAAGAAAAGAGTAATTAAGCTTATAATGCACAAGATACGAGGAAAGTCAAACGTTTACCATAACATATACGACCATATGCGACCTAAAATAGGTGCGGCCAAATTACCCATTTTACCCATTGCCCACGGGGAAGCGGCTTCTTGTGTGACCGATTTTCCCAAGGTGAAATTCAGTGCCTCGGGGAAATTTCCATGGATACATCATTCCAAACAAAAGAATTACCCATGAAAGTTCCCGAAGTAAGTTCTATTGGTGAATAAGAACCTAAGGCGGCTCAACCAATCACAAAAGATTGAAACGTACCAAAAAGTAGAAATCACGTGTTGTTTACGTGCCGAATCCGCCTTGGCGCCAAACTGGAATGCAAAACCTCAGCAGGATTTTGGGCGCTTCTGTGAATGTTTTTTCTGTACTTTACAATTTCACATAAATTTAAAAGCAACTCAAAACACTCGTCAGTTTTCTTTACATGTGTTCAAGAATTATTTCCTTGTGAAGTCGCTGCAAACACTTTTGTAAACCCGTACTTTTGACTTTTGAGCGAGAATTTGTCTTTCTTTAAAAAAAATGAAGTCAACGTCGTCCTTTTCAGTCTCAAAATTTAAGACGGAATCTCTCTTTCTAAGTTTAATTAATGTGGAGCGGGTGTTATTAATACGATTATGTGAGATTCAATGTTTACAACAACATTTACCTCAAAACTGCCCGGTTCACGTTTTTTCTTCCCTTTGGGCAATTTATAACTGTATAACCGCAACCAGGGCAGTGACCAATTACCCAGTGTGACCCCAACCTAAGCTATTTCCCCAATGGGAGCTTAGGGGGGAAAGTCAAGTGTGACCGCACCTAATGTATTGTATCTGGGATCAGTAAAACCCCTAATTCTCTTTGAACTCGTTTTTTTAACGTAGATATTTGGTACTGGGTTTGCCTGGGCTGAAAGCCTCCTTGACGTCATAGGAGGCAAACAATGTTTGGATCTTGAGGTTAGCAAAATTGAAAATTGCTTTAATATATCGCGGTGTTGAACTCCATCTGTAGTTTGTCCGAATAAGCAGCCCCAAATCGGAAATTGTGTTTGCCTGAAAATTTCTTTTTGGATGTAGCTGACTTTTGATCTAGGCCACTTTCCTTTGAGACAATCATCCAAACGCGGATTTTGCCTTTCTTTACTAAAACTAAAAACACACTCCCAATAGATTTGGTGATAGATTATATCTAAATCCCATTTATAGATTCACAATTAATGAGTTTGTTTGGGCATGGGTCCAAAAAAGTTACACCTGTCGAGCATTCTACGTTATTGCAGGCGTTTCACACAAATATTCTTAAAACGCTGAAGAATCCATCTTCGGGTTTTTACTCACGTTCCCTTTGTCGCATCAAGTCCAAAGACTGTGAGATTGTGCAACGATTAAACCTTATCGGATTTTTTCTAAAGGAACGTGCCCTTGATTAAAATCATTAAAAGCTAACAGCTGGAGGAGACATTTTTAACTTACCAATGATTTTTGCTTTACCTTGTTCCTTACTACTGCCTTTATCATCATCCTCATCGTCATCATCTTCTTTCTTGGATTGTGATAAATGCCTTTCAGCTTCATGAGTAATCTGCAAGGACTAACTTTCATAAGAAGAAACTTGAAGATACGGAAAGAAGAAATAGAGTGTAAACAGAAACTGTTACAGTCAAACCTGAATTAAGAGATGTCTTACTAGCGTCCCAAACATCGACTCCATGATTAACATATGTAAAGCGTCATGGAGTTTATCAAATTAAACTCATTTATAAAGTTGTATGAATTTCATATATTGGAACTGCGGAAGAAAAAATGCAAAGACGATCCTCGCAGTTAAAGACGCAACTTATGCTTCTGTGAAAAAAAAAACACCTAAAAACTTCAGCCTTTTAAATTTTAACACAACACCAACGCGATAAACCTTAAAGATTGCGTAAAATCTATCTAGAAGAAATATAATTTCCATAATAAAGTTTTTTGCGTCTGTTAGCAGTCCTTCATGTACCTTATTTGGTGTTTTGTTGAGCCAGTGCTTGTCTGCTTTAATGGCCAGAGCACGTTCCTGATACTCCTTGGCTTGCTCAAAGTCACCTAAATCCTGGTAAATCAAAGCTAAGTTACTGTAGCTTGTTGCAACATCAACATGTTGCGGGCCAAGCTTGTCCAGTTGAATGTCCAAAGCACGTTGCTGATACCTCTTGGCTTGCTCAAAATCACCTAAATCCCTGTACATCAAAGCTAAGTTATTAAAGCTTCCTGCAACATCAACATGTTGCGGGCCAAGCTTGTCCAGTTGAATGTCCAAAGCACGTTGCTGATACACCTTGGCTTGCTCAAAGTCACCTAAATCCTTGTAAATCAAAGCTAAGTCATTATAGCTTGTTGCAACATCAACATGTTTCGGGCCAAGCTTGTCCAGTTTAATGTCCAGAGCACGTTGCTGATACTCCTTGGCTTGCTCAAAGTCACCTAAATCCTGGTAAATTGAAGCTAAGTTATGATAGCTTGTAGCAACATTAACATGTTCCGGGTCGAGCTCTTGAAGCTTAAAAGTGAGTGAATATTGAAAATATGTTTTTGCTTCTTCGAATTCACAGTGCATTTGACAAATATTTCCAAGGTTTTCGCATTTTTTAGAAATCTTTTTATCATGAACTTGATAGAAGTTATCTCGCAAAAACACTTTGTCAGTTACCGTAGTTAAAGCTTTCAAATGTGTAGCGATGTGTCTGGTGTTTAGTCGCTCATTCTCTGGTGGAGTTGCGACGATAAATTCGTTAAATGATGTAATGACCCCACTAACGACCTCATCGCTTTGGCTTTCTGGACACTCTTTTGTTACAGTTTTTATAGCATTATGCACAACCTCGTGAAGTCGAATAAAACAGCCACCCTCGTAATCTTGGAACAGCAGAAGTGAGCTTCTTTTTAATCTCATGCGAATTAATTCTTTGTCATCTTCATCAAACTCTTCATGTGCGTTCATGATGTAACTAACTGCTATGTCCATGTTTAATGGCCGTGGAGCGCAGAGGGCAAGAAAAGTGAAAAGGTGTTTTTGAAATTTGTCGGATCTCATCAGTGTTTCGACGGCCAACGTTATTGCTTTGGTCATTGAATCTGGATAAATTGGATTGGTGTCGACAAGTGTGTTCTCTGTTTTCTGTCTTTTGCCTTTTTCTAAGATCTTCAGGTATTCCTCCCACCCAAAATGCGTCGATACATTGTCCTGCCGAATCTCTTTAACAAAGACGGCAGCGCCTGCTAAAGCAAGAGGTTGATAGTCCAGTCTCTGTGCTACTGTTCCTACAAGCTCGCTATCTGGGATACCAGAAAGCTTGGACAATAATGAACGGGCGTCATTGGGCTCCATACCTTTGCTTATTGAGATGTGATTAACGAACGAGCTTTTTAAGGGAATTGACGTTGTGTCCTGGGTCGTAATCAGCAACTGGCCCCTTTCCCAAGCATTTGTTGTGAACTGTGGTAGAAGGTCTTGCACAGATGCCATGTCAGTCACGTTGTCAACTACTAGTAACCACGAAGTGTAGCAGCCAACTTTTTCCGCAATAAGCGTCGTAAGATTAGTGATCTTTTTCTCCACATTCCAGTCTTTTGACTCGAGTATTTTTATGACTGAATAGTCTGGGCATTTTAAATGGCGAGCAAATGAGGTGTACGAAACCAGAAGTGAATCTGGACTTGTAGCATTTAAGGTCATTGCAAAGGAAGACCCACCTGGTATTTCATTCACTTCGTCGTAGAATCTCTTAGCTACG